GGTCATTGAAGCCGCTAACGTTTGTGTCAAGCGTGGTGTCTTTCATCGGGACATAAAAATGGAGAACCTGCTGGTAAACCAGGACACCATGGAGGTGAAATTGATTGGCTTTGGGTGTGGTGTGCAAATGAAGAGATTTGGCTACGAAGTCTTCAGTGGTATGTGTTATGAACTGCTTTGTTAATTATCTCACAGAACTGCATCCTATACAGTCAACATGATGTGGAAATGTGTTAAATGGACAAAACCTCTTTCCTCCAGGCACAAAAGCGTACTGTCCACCAGAGGTCCCTATGAACGGCAGATACCATGCAAAGCCGACAACAGTGTGGTCGCTAGGGATCCTTCTATTCATGATGCCATGCGGATGTTATCCCACAGACTGACCTGGATCTGATCAGTAAGAGGAGCTGGACCAGACCTGGCCTGTCACAAGGTAAGATCTTCATCAAAGAAGAACGAAGGACACTCTGTATTCGAAATCACACAAAAAAGACTGATAGCTTGAAAGAGAGCAGGAGTAAAGAATAAGCTAATAAATCAAACATCGCTCATCTTTTTGGACAGAATGCTGCCAGATGATTTCTTCATGTCTGCAGTCTGATCCACAGCAGATGCATCTCCATGACTGGTTTAAGGTACTAAGTCTAAAGACGAGCTAAATGCTTTTTGTCATTTTTGGTTTGGTTTGCCAAATCAAATTTGTAATGTGTTTAGACTATTGATGCTGTTTTTTGTTTTGTTTTTGTTTTTATCAGGTCACGGAGTAAGACATGAAGAACCTTAAGAAAACAACTCCTGTCATGGCCAACCTGTTGTTTTCTATCTTCAGTCAGCTTTGCATCTGGCAGGCTGATATGAGTGGCCTTTCCATCCCTCCACTCAAGCCTTAGCGTCTTGTAAGGGTCGGCATGTCCTGGTAGTGTCTGCCACCTCGACTTGAAGCAGCAATACTCGTAATAGTTATTTGTATAGTCTTTAAATTTATATATACTTCTTAAAAAAATCAGTAAGATATTTTGTAAGATAAGTGTATCAGATAGATAAGTCTATACGTTTAAAGGTAAGTGTATAAGATAGATAAGTGTATAAGATAAGTTTATAAGTGTATAAGATAGACAAGTGTAGAAGTTTATAAGATAAGTATAATTTAATAAGATAATTGAATGTATAAGAAAACCTTGTAAGAAAAAATATAATAAAGTATATGAGTTTTTGAGTCATATTAGAGAATATGTTAGAGGATACGGACATCCAACATAGAAGGTGCATGCCAATTTTTAACTTATAAACTCTGTTCCAAAATCGCGTTAAAAATGTTTATGCTTCATTTACATAGCCTTCCTTATATGGTATCAGCCCATATATGGGTTCATTTGAAAGCTTGGAGTGTCTTCTTTACAAAGAATACCATACCTTTTTGTTTTTATATTCATAAAGCAGTAAAATTAAGCTTAGAAATGTATTCGTCCCACACATGAATTTCCGCCTAACCATAGGGGTTATGCGCAACAGACTTCCGTATTCTGTTAACCGGGTCTCGTCGCTTCCGGTTCAAGCGTTTTGCATATGCTTAGTTAAATATGAAGCAGTTTTACTCAAGATGCCTTCAAAGTAGATACCAATGATGATCATAACCAATTTCCATCACATATGCGGACTGATATCTAAAAGTTTTTTTTATTTTTATTCTTTTCACATTTAGATATAAAAATTGAATAAAACGTCAACAATAAAAACAGCTAGCTAGTTTAACTTATTATCTTAAAAGTCCATAGATATCGCTATTATTTAATACGGCTGTTAACACGTTCTCCGACAAGCGGAAGCAATGAGACCTGTTTTCCGGGTTTGGTCAGGTGATGTTCGACATATACAGTGGGTACGGAAAGTATTCAGACTCGTCCCACACACGAATTTCCGCCTAACCATTGCGAATAATTTTTACGAAGAATGTGTATTTTATATATTTTTCACAAAAAAGTCAAGTCATATATCACAAGAAAGCTCTCATTCTCAGGAATTTGACGATGTAGATTATTTAATTGTGTGACAATCATAGATCGAATTATCTTCAATTGAATTGCGGGGGGAAAAAAGCTGATTTTTTTATGTGTAACATTCATACTCGTAGCACTGCTTCAGTTAGCCGCAAACAGCCACAAATATCTATATACTCTATATTATCTTTTAGATTATTATCTCTTCTTTCAAACAAGACCATTTTCACGTTTCTGCGTGCTTCCATCGGTGAGATATATAGCGTTTTGTCCAGGTTGCGCAATAGACAATTGCTTCTGCCAAAGACACACTCCCCATATCAAAAGCGCTCTCAGCCAGCTCGTCTGATGTTATAGAGATCTGTGTTCGGTTGTGGACTTCAATTGGTCAGATTACATGTCTCTCAACTCAGCGGCCATTTCAGAGCCGTGAAATTTGACACCTCTGTGTCACTAGGGGTGGAGAGAGGGGTCTTCACATCCGGGAGTGATGAGGTGAGAGATGCTGTGAAGCAGTATCCCAATACAGAATGCACATAAATGGAATGATATAAAGCTGGAGGATATGGATTCTATTTTAGATTGCGATAGACCAGATATATTTTATAACGACAGTCTTGTGCATCCTGAAATAATTCAACTGATTGTAGATTACACAATATGTGAAATTTGGTCCAATTCGCTTGTGCCATTTTGTATATTACTACTTAGAAAAACATAAAAATGAAACATAATTCAATCAATAATCAATTAAAGTGCTTATGGCACAGAGTAAAATAGGATTGTGGGGTTAATGTGTTTTATAAAGCCTGTTTTTGCAAAGGAAACTCACAATGACACATTTAGATGCAGAAATAGACAATTTGACTCGCTTCACTTATAATGTAATAACTCCTGTTTAGAAGCTGTTATTTGAAAGATAATTTTTTCTGGTACTTTTTGGCATCTAGTGGCATCAAACAAAGTAAATTGCAGGGAGCTGGACCTAATAGAACCTGAATTACAGAATTTCAAAAAAATAATTTGTTTTAAAACTCCAAAAGCGCCTATGTTTTTTTGTGTTTATTGTAATATTTGAAAAATATATAATGTTATTTATAAAGAATTACACTCATATTTTGTAGTTCAAAGGGTTTTCTTTACAATGAAACCATTTTTGTTCATTTCCTCCATTGTATGTGTGTAGGGTAAACATTTGAATTTGAGTATGTCAAATTTAGGCGAAAATACCAAAAAACGCCCTGAGCGTAAGTGGTTTTAATGGATGTGTTAATTGTGTGTCCAGTTTTGTTAAACATGGACATTGCATTCAGCAGATATACATAAGCTCGGAAAAAGACCATCAGTTAACTGATATCTTAGCAATGCTTTTTGCAGAAATAGTCAATCAACTGATTTGGGGACCCTGAAGGAATCAGACGATTTTTTATTGTGAATTTTGATTGTAACTATAATGGTTCCAGAGTTATTAGCAAAAACGTATTTTAGTGCATCCTAACCAATTCTACCCAAATTTAATATACAGCTTCAAAATTCATGAAACTAAACCTGTTTCTTCAAAATGACCTGTTCTCCATATGGACAAGGTTTGAGAAGTTTGAGAAGTGTGCACGCATAGACATGTTAGTCATATTGGGTCAATCCAGACAAATATAAATAATTGTATCTGCTAAACAACATTTTTTTGCCAGCAAGGTCTAGAGCTGGCCTGCAAAGTTTGGTGAAGATCTGACCAAATGGTTTAGGAGGAGTTCAAAAAAGTCTTTTTTTTTTAATCAAATTAAAATTAGTTTATCGATCATATTGGGTCAATCCAGACAAATATAAATAATTGTATCTGCTAAACAACATTTTTTTTGCCAGCAAGGTCTAGAGCTGGCCTGCAAAGTTTGGTGAAGATCTGACCAAACGGTTTAGGAGGAGTTCAAAAAAGTCTTTTTTTTTTAATCAAATTAAAATTAGTTTATCGAAAATCAATCAAATTAAATGTACCTTTCTTCAGGGTTAAAGCAAAAATTTATAAAAAGAATTTTGATTCTATCACACAGTTGCTGAGTTATTAGCTAAAAAGAATTCTGTACACTTTATATATCTATATATCTATTTTTGTAAAATTAGGCCATTCAGATCAGTTTTTATGTTGTAGTATTTATAATCAATTTATAATCTTTATGATAGAAGTAGTCCATGATGTGTGGTTTATTCCAAGTCTTTTGAATTCATTCGACTGCTTTATGTAAAAATGGACTGCAATTTAATTTGCATTCATTCAAAATCCACAATTTGAATCTGGCGTGCACGAAACAGTTTGTTTACATCAGTACAGAAACTCCACACAACCCTTCCTCATTGGGTGTCGTGACAATCGTCAATGTGGTACAGTATAGGCCTACTGTATATTTTAATGTGTGCAGGATTTGAGAACTCGTTAAAGTTTGGTGCTTCACATTTGAGAACCTCTTATAGTTAGCTATACATTGTGCATATTTTAGTGCGGTTTGGAAGTTGCATATGGGAAATTCACTCGTTACTGACTAATTGCATAAGTCCAAACAATCATTCTTTCTAAAATAAAAAAAGACCTACTGTTAATGCCTTGTGTTTTTTCTCGTTACATTTTCATCAGTGTTTTAATTAAAGTCGTTAATTATAACCCATTTTTGTTCCATCCTCGTATCATTGACAAAATACAAAACAGTTCATTAACAAACACCCTGCCACTGTACTTGCTGCGAAAAAAGCACACCAACTGCATTTATTTATTTTTAAATCTGCGGTTTATTGTTATATGGAGAGATTATTTTAAAATTAACAACTCCAATTGTTAAAAAACAAAAGAAAGGAAGAAACACATATTCACATATTCAACAAAGACCATGTCAAAATCTCATTCCTAATGCATCTAATAGGTTCAGGGGTTGGAAACATGTTGTGCCTCATGGAACATTTTGTGTACCCAGGATTGCATGGCTGCAGGATGTGAATGCAGAGATGATGTGAAACTTTGTAAGTATCAGTAAGGAAGATTCATACACACACACAAACACACACACATATTCCCTTTCTCCCCTCATTTCCCCCTCATCATCATTCGCTGGTCATGTGTTGGCTTTTGTTCGGAGAAATGCAACTCTACTCTTTCTTTTCAGCCTTCTTTTCATCCTTTTCATGATACTCGAGGAAGAAGTCGTTGCAGGCGACAGTGAGGGCACCAACGAGGATGACGAACTCTGTGAAGTCCACCTCACCGTCATTGTTTGAATCCAGGTCTCCCATAACTTTATCTACCGCATCCTTATCCTGTGCATTCTGTGGAGCAAGAGAGACGCAGATAAAGTTATTCAGAAACATCTGACTTTCACAAAGAAATCAAAACTCTGTTTTCTCCTTACCCCAAGGTAGTTGCTCAGCTCCTGCGTTAGCATCTCTTTGAGTTCCTGCCTGCTGAGAGTGTATTTGTCACCCTCATTTCCAGAGTACTTGTGGAACGTCTGGATCATCAGCTGCATGGCGTTCTCCAGAGTGGAGGCATTCTCCGAGTTTAGAACATTAGACATTCTGGAAAGAAAGATTTATTGGTCACTGTAGCGAGCGACTGTATTTAGACTTATAAATGCACTCAAGGATGCACAAAAGGTTTTCTTTAGGGGGAGTATTTCTGGCTCATTTTTAAATATTTAAAAGCAGAGGCAGACTTATTTTCTTCAGACCACAACAGTAAAAGCATTGCAAAAGAAGCAGTAATATATTCTCAGCTCAACATGCTTTGACCCCTCCTTCCCTCTCCAGATCATCCTACAAGGGGCTTAACTTAACTACAGAAGGGAAATGTGACTCGCCTGATAAGGGTGAAATCCTAAACTGGAAAAAACACTCCAGAACCTGGGGAGGAAGTTACTCGGCCAAGTGTAATCCGAGCCAATCTCAGTGCCCACAACTCACTACACACACACACATATTTAACCAAGCATTGCCCTCGGTTTGAGCTTAGCCCTGTCCTGATGGATGAACTGATAGACATATTGGGTTGTGTTGGCAAAAATAACTTAAAATAAATAAAAATAACTGAGCCTCATCAGATACTTTATAGAGATGAGCCACAAGCCACGCAGAACTTGAGGTGGAGAGCCACATTAAAGAATTTTGTCCAATAGCAGCTCATTACATCAAACTTTTCTTTAGCACATGATCTGACCAAGCATGTCATGTCCAGAAGCTCATTAGAAACATCAGGCAGCACAAAAGCGAACTCTAAAGAATTCACAATTACTGTCTGTTCTTCCATCCATTCTTTTCTTTCCCTTACCTTGCTGTTAGAAGGTTGTTGCTCTTCTGTTCCTTGAGGAGAGATGAATGCTGGTGAAGACGGGAGGCGATGGCCAGCATCTTATATACCTACTTGGTCCTCCTCCCATCATACCTTACACTCCTCCTCCCTTCCTCCATCCATCCTTCATTTGTCTCTGCCTACCTCTTGTCCTCTCTGTTTACACATTCACAATGCAAGAAAAAATTTGAAAACAGTGTTATATAAAGGAGTAAATGTGATGTTGATCGTCGTAATTGAGAGAGAAAGTTCTCTGAGTTAGACGGTAACTTGAGCAAATGAAATCAAGCCACATAATCGATGTTTTGTTTTATTGATCAACACTCAGTTAACTCAGTTTGTAAATCATGATTATATATACACGTGACTACATGTATCAACATAAGATTTGAATGAATCAATTTGAAAATATGAGGCAATTTTCTTTAAAATGTATATGTAATGGACTTTATTGTTTCATTAAATGTTACCAGTCATGTTTTCAAGCTTATCTAATGATACAACATGACATTCATGTATATACACGCTCTGAAGACCTGGATTTAAGAAAGAAGAGCTTTTGGGTAAATAGATATGTTTGATCCTAAAGCTTAGTTATATGTACTGGTGCTTGTCACATTAAACTTTTAGAGACGTGATAGTTCAACACCCCGAACTAAATGATTTATCTGCTGTAATTGATGACTTCGACACAAACATCGCTATAATGAAAATCAGCCGAGCTATAGAAATACTACATTACCAGCAGTTATGCTTTAAAATATGCTTTATACATATAAAGAAGCGTCTTTTTTATATTTTAATGTCTATGTTATTTAAGTTATGTAGTGAAAGGTTATATAATATAATTAGGGATTGGTCAAGCTTCTTAATGGTGTAATTCTATCTAAATCTATCTATCTAACACATTTATATATGTATGTAAGTCTATATAATTGTAATTCATTTCTTGATGCACTTTTCTACAATTATTAGCATAATGGCACATAAGCCGTAAGATGAAATGGGGTCAGGTGCCTGAGGACTGATTATGTTACAGGCCAAACAAGGTTACATGGCACAAATGTAGTTACTAACAACCCAAGGGTCTTTAAGAGGTGCTGATAATCTCTCAGGTGTGTGTGTGTGAGCATCTGACTACAAGTGGTCCTGTCACACCTGATACTGCTGCACAGGTGTTAATTCATCATTAAGCAAATGGTGTCAATACACGTATGCCAGCCAAGACTTGGGACTGAAAACACACGAATGGCCAAATTCAAAGGACACTGACAAACACACAAAATATGTACACATAAAAACGTATTCATGCTAGGGCACAGGCTGTACCCAGAACACCATGATCTTTAGCTTGTATTACATGTCTGAAAGTTAAAGGATGACTAAAATTACAATTTTGTCATTATTTCCATATTTTAATTGAAAGGTTATACAAAAACATTTCTCCAGTTGTGTGAAATTTCACTTTTTTAAATGGATAAATCTGATGTGTACAACATTGACATTGACTCTGTTTTTAGTATATTTGATGGCTTGCGTTCATCAGTTATGCCTTGTTTTAAGCAGTAATCAAGCATATTTCGTTCCCAGTAAAACAATTAAATCATATATGAAAACACGTGAGCTTAGAAATGAAAACCTGTTTACATGGAAAGCAAAAATAACACAAAAATAAGCAAACACTTATGCAACAAAAAGTTACTTGATTTAGCACTTGTACATGGCCACAGGTCAGACATTGTATTATAAATGCATTAATGCGAGTACATGTAAACAGATTTATAATTTAATTGTAATATCAGAGATTTTATATTGCATTGGAGACCAAGGCTAGTTGTTACAACAGGAAGTCACAAGGGCTAAAGGAGTTGTGTTTTGTTATGTATGTAAATTTACGGTAATTTTACACAATTAATACAGTGTGTTTTGGCCAAAACAATGGTTTGACCTTTTTTTTTTTTTTTAAAGCAATACCTTGAAAACTTTTTAATAAGTAAAAAAATTGTGACAACTATCCCCAGTCTCATTACTGGTGCAAGACTCCAGCATTACAAATGATTGCCAGTGTCATCAACCCAAGTGTCATCAATGCATTTTGGGCTTCTTATGGTCCACCGGCTGCGCTGCTCTGTGCTTTCTGCTCACTCAGTGAGTTGGCCAGGTAGCCCACCAGCGTCAGGTACTCCTGGAAACTGACCTTCCCGTCCTGGTTGTCATCCAGGCCTTTCATCATGTCCTTCACTGCTGAAGAGCTGTCAGTGTCCTGAGAGAGACAGAGAGAGTGTGAAATCCTCAACTATTTAGCATTGCCCAATCAAGCTTAGTCCAGAAAACACAGACAGCAAATGAAGTGCAGTCTTGACTTTTTTTTTGTTCTGTGTTGCGACATGCTATACTTCATATAAAACTACTTTTACTTTTAATTAATTTAGCTAATTCTCTTATAATTATTATGCATGCAACACTTACGACCTCATATTAATTGAGAGATTATAAAATATTTGTACTTTTAATTTAATTGTCACATTAATTGTAAATGACAGGACCACCTAAAATAAACCAATGAAGGCAAAAGGGTGATTAAACAATTATTTAACAAACATACTCACTTATGTATGTATACCTTGAGGCTAAAATCTTTATCTTGTAGTCCATGTTATGTGTCAACTAAATGGAGCAAAATTAGAGATTTGTTACTTACACCCAGGATGTTTCCCAGCTGACTCTGGACTAACTTTTGGAAGCTCTTCCCACCCAGGCTCTCTTTTCCCCGTGCTGAAGACAGGAACTGCATAACAACTGTTTTAATGGCACCCTCCATATTTGTAACTGTATAAAGGAGAGAAGAACATACATTATAAACAAAGATTCAGTTTTCATCCTGTCACTATATGTGTACCTCAAGAGTTTACTTTGAAACGATTTTCACTTCGAAATTGCAGGTAAATTTCACAAATAATTACAAAGAAAGGCAAATAATTAAACACGAAATTTCAAACACTTGCACTCTAAAAAATGCTGGGTTAAATGCAACCCAGTGCTGGGTAAAATAGGGACAAACCCAGCAATTGGGCTGTTTTGACCCAGCGGTTGGGTTAAATTTTTAACCCAACCTTCTGGGTAGTAACCCAACTGCTGGGTCAAAACAACCCAATTGCTGGGTTTGTCCATATTTTACCCAGCACTGGGTTGCATTTAACCCAACATTTTTTTTAGTGTGTAAGTCTTGTAAAATGTGCTCCAATAATCTGTTTTATTTACAACTTTGAAAATTAGTTTTTAACAGTGGGAGGTAATTTTCAGGGAGTACTTATAAATAAATATTAATATAAGTAAATAATTTGATGTAGCTTTGTTAAGCCTAGTCTAAAAAAACAGAAAGTATGACTTAATATAATGTATTATGATATAGTCCATTTTCCAGGGTCAAAGGAATGAGGCCTGTTCCAGTGTCTGAGGCCAAAGACAGATAAACACCTGACGGATGACAAGTCCATAATATAATATAATATAATATAATATAATTATTAATATAATTATTATCTTCTCATTAACATTAGTAAAAAATTATGGCTTTTGTTTTACTGTATTTCATATACAGTAGGTTCATAGGAATTCATTTTTGGTATCGATGAAAATCTTACTGAAGGGGTTACGGTGGTACCTGAGATAAAAAGATCGGAAAACACTGCGATATCTATTTTTAGGATGGAGTCTTAATGTTAGTAAGTGACATTTTAGCAGCGGGATGACTAAAGGAAGGGCAGGCACTGGAAAATGAGTGACCTGAGGAGAGGGATGATGCTAGAATAATTAAAGAGCATGAAGAAGGGAGGAGGGAGAGAGGAGCAGAGGAGGAGTGTGTGGAGCTGTAGAGTGTATACCACAAGACAATGGAACTTGTGATCTTTAACGGACATTCGATCCACTCAGGCCACAGGCTCACATTACCGCTGGGGTTGCCTGCTACATGTCTGTTACACTCTCTCTCTCATCCAACAACATACAAACACAAAAGCCCATACACACTCTTTGAAGGATGCCCACTCCTCTTGGATCAATAACCCTTTTTACCTTCCCTACTGACACACAAAGTAAAGCAATAAAGTGTAACCTACTGCATTTCATTTTCTTGTACTGTAGATCCTCTCATATTTGACACTAACAAATAATTAATGATCTAATTTGGGTTTCCTTCCAGTGACATTTAGCAAGCTTATCCATAACAAACACAAGGTACAGTAAAACACCAATGAAGGCCACAATTCCACCAAATACATACTGTATACACTGAAGAAAAGGTGTAGGATTTACTTAAAAAAAAATTCATTCATATTTTGCAGGTACATTTGGAAACAGGAAACTGCAAGTAATACATTGAATTAAATGTTAAAATTTGAGTACATGAGTACATGTACTCTAATAATCTGTTACAATATAGACCAAATTAGAAATAAAAAAAAAAGTTCTGGACAATATTGATGAATGACTGATATTGGAAATCTATACTAGTTTGTGTATTTAAAAAATTATAATAATGAAAAAAATGATCATAATTTTGAGACCTGCTGAAGATTATATTGAACTATTTTATTAAATTATTAGTGTTTTAATTGACTAGCTTAGTGAGCATTAGCCTATATGACGTCAAAGGTTATCTTAATATAAAAATGACAATGCACAATTTAATATATCAAAAAAAAAAAAAAAACTAATATTGGATGATAACCAATATGTTTCCCATATATTGTGCATCCCTAGTAATCAGATTTTCCTGCCTGTCTGAACAAGGCCTTCATTTTCCCTTGAGATGAGCTGCAACACTCACATGCACGCACAAAATTAATGTGATTTTAATGTGCGTGTGACGTATGGGTAATTCTATAGGCCACCCCTTTCAGGTAAATCTTCCATCTGACAGACGTCACACCTGAATACTTACACTGCACCACTAACATTAGTACACTACACCACTGCTCTGCCGTCCTTCCAATTACTGATGGCCCTCTATTAACCTAATTAGAGAAAGAGAGAGAGAGAAGACTGAGCAGGGCTTGGGTGAAAATTACTGGTGGAAGACCTGCTGGAATTTACTGATAATCAGGGTTATTAATCCTCTCTCTTATGAGCAACCAGTGTGGCTTTGCATTACTGTAGTTGTGGCTGTGGAAAGACAGATTTTATTTGTATGAAGTCATGTGTTTAGCTGTGAGAGGCTTGTGTTTGCTGCAGAGAGAAGTGTCTTTGTCTTAAAAATGTTGTCATTGTTCTAAATGAGATGTGCTCATTAGGTGATACTCAAGCTCAGACTTGGTCAGACTAAGGCAGAAGCATCAGACAGGCTGATTGAGAGGTGCTCCTAGTGATTAGTCCCAAGGGACCCAAACAAACTGTCATGTAATGAGACGCTGTGAAATTCAGAAGTCAACAAACCCATGAACATTTGCAGTACATGCCAGCTGCCAAATGGGAACGAGCACTAAAACCACGCAGAAAGGCACTGCAATTGATGCCACAAAATTCTAAACAAAACAGCATCAAGTGCTGGAGAGCAATTAACTAATAGTGACGATACTAGCTGAATTTGTTACTTTTTTTTTCATCAGCGTGAAGTTCAGACGATTTTATAGGCCTAAATAAAAAAAATGTACCCAAAAAGTAGCATTGTAACATGACTAAATGCTGAGCTGAAGGAATAAACAAACGCACTCACCTCAACCAAATATCATTGGAAAGTCTGAATTATTATTGTGAATTGATTTGTCCAAAATGCTCCCCTCTGTTATTTGTAGTGCTGAAAAGTGCAATTTTAGTGAATCAGTTCATCCTAAATAGTCCCATCTCATATTGTTGGAAAGTCTGAATCATTATTGTAAATCGAGTCATCCTAAACGGGCCTCTCTCTTACGCAACACCATTTTCAACTAAAAACTGAAAACTTTTTATGCGTTTTGGCCATTTATATACACAACAATGGCATATTGGGGGCATGAAAATAATACATAAAAAGTAGACTAAAAGTATACCTTCCTATTTTTAGTTTAAAAGAAGTATACTAATAGCACACTTGAATAAACTTCTTTTTCGTAAGGGAACTTTAAAACGAGTTTCAAAGTGCAAGTTTTGAAAATGATACCGTTATCGCATTGGTCCCAAACTCAATTCCTGGAGGGCCAAAGTTCTGCACATTTTGGCCATTTCTCAAACGGAAGGCTGCATCCTTCAGAGGTCACATTTGTAGGCTGCATACGTCATAACGAAGATCTTATTTTAGAATATTAACAGTTATATATTTGACCATTATTCTTAATTAAGCGTAAATTGTTGTAATATGCTTATGACTCTCGAATATAATGCTCAGTTTTTTTTTCTATTGCAAGTATAAACACTTAACTTCAACAATTAATACAACATTGGATGACATTATGAATACAGAAATAATATAGGAACACGAAGAAAAAATAAATAAATACAAATAAGAATAAATAGATAAAACAAAGAAATACAGAGGTAGTAAATCAAAATGATTTATTTCACAAATTTGACACTTTTTTTGGTATTACTATTTTTTTATTGTTATAATTAGGTAGTTAAAGTCACAAAGAAAATTATGTAATTTTGGGAATGTTGAAGAAAATTTACATTTATGAATATAATATTTTCCCAATAAAATAAATAGAATATAATTCTCAGTTAATTGAAATAAACCTTGATGACGTATGCAGCCTGCAAATGCGACCTCTGGAGGATGGAGCCTTCCGTTTGAGAAACGGTCTTTAGCTCCAACCCTAATCAAACACACCTGATCCAGCTAATCAAGCTCTTCAGGATTACTAGACACTTCCAAGCAGGTCCTGGTTGAAGCTCCCCTTATGAAAATGAACCATGGTTTTATTGTAGTAGAAGTGTAGTAACCATGGTTTTTTGGCACAGTTTTACCACAAATACCATGGTTAAACTATGGTTAGTGTAGCAAAGCCATGGTTAATTTGTGGTTACCATGGTTAAACTATAGTAACCATGGTTCTTTGGTTTTATTTGTAGTAAAACCATGGCTAATTTTCATAAGGGTAAACTCTGCAGAGCTGTGGCCCTCCAGGAATTGAGTTTGAGACCACTGCGTTATCATGTAAACTACAAACATGCACATTTGTGAAAATGGTGACGACAAGTTCATGCGTATTACATGTTCAGTCTGTTAGTATGTGCACATGTGTTTCTTAACAAAGTGACTTCGCCAACTACTGGCCTGGCATGAATAGAACAGCATTTTTAGTCATTTTAGTGGATCCATGTGAACGGGGATTATTTTGACAACATTGTCATCTTTATGCAACAACTTTTCAAAATGCAAAGGAAAAACTTTTCTGTTTAGTTGTCATGTAAACGTACCATTATTTGTGCTGTTAGAAAGTCCAATTCATTCTATTGAATCAGTTTGTTCAGATGGTTCATGTAAATGAACAGATTTTAAAAATGATTAATTGATTCGAGTCCCCGAAATATACATAGTTTGACTCACTTGTTAAATTATGGTGTTGTTATTCTATTCTAAAATTTACCTGTTCAAGTTTAATACTGTTTGTTAATTCTACCCAACTAAGTGTTCATTCATTCAGAATCACTTATTGTGTTTGTGTCATGTTTAGTGAAGTTATAATTCTTGAAAGATAGCCTACTTCAATATTTTGAAGAAGCTACACTGCAGTCTACTTTTTGAAAATGTACTGCAAAGAACTAACAGGGCAATTTGTTTTTAAAATTATTTTTATTTGTTTGTTTTTTTTAAATAAATTTCCCCCTTAACTGTTTGCAGTTCAAAACAGTAGCTTGACTGTAGTATACAGTAGCTATTTAAAATTATTAAGCTTGTAGCTTGGCAAGTTCAGAAGCTTCCCAAATAAAAAAAAATTGCTCTGTGGTGACACTGTGAATAAAACCTATGGTGTCTACCCTAAACAAGGTCAACTGAATGAATTGAACTGAACTGAATTTCTCATCACTGGGCAAATAAAAATGCAATAGTATCTATTAGTGCGCTCTCCTATTACAGTTTTCTTCAACTGCATTCCATTCTTGGTCCTCTAGATGTCCCTCCAGGCTACTTGTGGTTTGCCCTTGTTTCCTGATGTTACTGAAAAATGTCAAACTTGCAACCATCACTGGATGAAAATGTAAAGAATGAGGTTGAGAAAGTGACTGAGAGAATAAGGCTTTGTTCGCATTTCTCATGTTCAGCTCTCACATAAACTGTTGCACTTGTGTGGACAGGTGGTTCACAGCTCTTATTTCTTTAATATGTTCTTGTTCCCACAAGATCATACCTTACTTACAGTACAGCTCTCACAGTTAACTCATTGTCCTAACATGACTGAATGATCTGATACCTAAAATAACTGGTATTTAATTTAGGCTATTAGATATCCTTTCTATATCTAAATATAGCTGTAAATCACTAATTGTTTTCATTACTCATTTTGGAGAATGTAAACATTGTAATATTAATATGTAATATCAGTCATCTTTTTTCTACAGTGAAGTGAAGGACGACAGAGTGACACATTTGGAACAATATGAGGGTGAGTAAATGATGACCCAATTTAATCTTGGGAGTGGACTGTCCCTTTAAGAATATTTTTTTATTTAGTGGCGGTGTTCGTTTTTCCAGTGTATGTATATAAACGTAGAATAAGAAGCTTGTTCTCTGTCTCTTCATGAGGTGTGAATAATTTGCTTGTACCAAGCTGTCAGCACTTGAAGGTAACGGTGCACAAGTTGTCTCGAGCTCTCTGTGTTATCAGACAGCTCCCACCGTTGCTGTCTTATCTCTGTATTCATAATTAACGTCGTTCTGGTGGCCGTGTCGCCGCTGACACATTGAGGTCGTGCTTCGTCCGGTTAAGGATCGAGTGCTTCCCCCCCCAAAATCCCGTAAGGTCGACTGCAGGGCTTATCACAGCAAACGGCGCATAATAAGCAGCGAATCTATTCACCTCACGCGGAGGATTTGCACGCGTGCGCTCTGAGAAAACGCTCTGAATTAATAAATACCAGGTTTCTGATTTCTTCTTTGGTGTAAAGGGAGAAGGGCTTGCGTTACATCTATAGGGAATCGGATCGGCTATTTGTAGTCACCGGATAAGTGAGCCTACGCTCGCGCGTAGAAGGACTGAAATATTGACGCAGAGTGGGATTAAACGGAAAGTGACACATTTGCATTGGGCACGAAAGCTTCTTTATGGAACCCAGTTAACTTGATGCCAAAGTTCTGTGTTCCACAGTTCAAGCACATTAAAACCAGCTAACAGACCAGTTTGACCATCTGAAAAGTACCCTCAACTTCCACAAAAAAACAGCAAACAGAGACCAACAGAAACCAGAAAACGCCTTTTTCCAGAAGAAAACATCTTATTTTATTCTAAACCGACAAATCTCATCAAATAAACAATAGGGTTGTCCTACAAACTTCTTAGGATCAAATTGGAATGCTTACCTAGTTTTGTAAGGAAACTTCTGCTGATTCTTGCCTCTTCTAATTTAAGCCAGTACAATGCCTTCTGCGAATTCCAATCTTCCCAAGTTGCTTTTTTTCCCATCAAAGCACTGGGCGTATACCCAGAACTTTATGGGTGGGGAAAACTGGATATATTACTCAAGAGAGGTGTTGTGAGGACATAACTCCCCTGAAAGCGTACTGTCATAACCACGCTGGAAAATGAGGTGAGAGGTGAGAAGAGGTTTAGGAAGTGAATAACACCACTTCAGCCAGTTTTCTTCTAACCATCTGCAGCCATTTTCTGCTTTCTGATTTATTACAGTGAGTTCTGTGCCAACTGCAAGGCCCATGTTTGAATGGCCTGTGAGAGTGTGTGCCTGTCACAAGTAGGAGCATGCATTTGATCGTTGCACAAAGGCTTAGTGAGACTAGCATAGTGAGATCATCATCCAGCCACACCTTGAGAGCTTAGTCAGATAGGCCTACTTTTTTCCGAGTTTCTAGCCAACTCGGCTAGAAACAACTCGGCTGCCACATTGATCAAAATATTAGTTTTAAAAGTTTTCTTTTCTGTGTAACTTTCTTTCTGCAGCATGAAGCTATGTTTGTGCATATGTGAGGGCGGGAGAGAGAAAGAATGCAGCTATGTGAGAGAGAAAGCTGTCTGCTGTGGGGCACACAGCATACCAGAACACAATTATCAGGAACATGTGCTTTCCAATTACCAAGACAAAACCCTCACAGTCCAGTGATTCTCCTCCACCCTGATCACTAAGCCCACAGTCTCTGTGTTTGGTTGGTACTATGCAACATTAATGTAGGTTTTGTTTGCCTTTGAGTAGCATTGTTTGCCATCATAATTATTGTCAGACAATACAACAGAATTTCTGGCTGTAAGTTCCATTAAAACTTTAATCGCAAAGCAAAAGTTCAACGGTTTATAAAGTCAAAACTAGAAACATTAAATAGGTCAAATAAAATATATGTTTTCTTTTACATGTTAATGTAAATATTCTGTCTAGGCCCTCTACTTGCTGAATCTATCTCCGTTTACAGTCCTTGTTTCATTTTATGTTTTTTTTTTTAGAATATGAGGTCATTCTTATAACTTGGATAGCACATCTAACCAGTCAGAAAACACATATTAGGGTGTACGGCTAACTACCGTCTTAGTAAACTATTTAAAAACATGGGTAGCCACCATTTTGGTATTTTGGGACCAAGATAAGTCTTGACAGGAACAGAATATTGTTCTGGATGTAAAATCTAGCACAATTGTATCAAGCAAACACTGTTAAAACCATGATTAGCACACATTGTGAAACAGGACACACCTACAATCCGAGCCTAAATCCTAATACCTCTAGTTCCTGCATCACATAATTGTAAAAAAAAAAAGTAATAGTAGTGATAATAATTATACAACATAACCCGTAAATATATTTTAATGACAAACTTTTATGTAATCTAATATTTATCTTTTATTAGGCAATTGTTTACTTTCTCCCAGAAAGTTCCCAAATAAAATCCCTCTTAATATTTTCTCCCAGTTTTCAAAGTTGTCAAGAACGTTGCTCAACTTCATAAGTGTAACTTCTGACGTTTCCATGCCAGATAATGGATTGTGCAAGCGCAGATGTGAGAAGCTCTTCTTGAAAGATTTATGGTTTTAGAACTGTATTGCAAATCATCTTTATAGATGACATCATGACAGGGATTAATTGATTGGCTGACAAAACAAAACAAAACTACTACCCTGCTGGTATTATGTTGGCAATTTTTTATTATAATTGTTTTTTTAAACAAAAATTCATTGATTTCTAGTAGTTTTGCCGATGCACATTTTTGGAGGGCTCTAAACATCTTGGAATAATCTTGTTTGTGTTATGAGCTGCAAAGAGTGATCAGTCAAATGGCATTTATGACAAAGCGCAACTTTTTCTAGTAGTTTTGCCGATGCACATTTTTGGAGGGCTCTAAACAACTTGGAATAATCTTGTTTGTGTTATGAGCTGCAAAGAGTGATCAGTCAAATGGCATTTATGACAAAGCGCAACTTAAACAAAGACAACTGTTGATATTTGAATCATGGTTTTGTGAATTTCATCAAAAATATCACTGGAGTAAAGACTTAAAGTATAAACTGCCCTGTGTAAACATGCCAGTTCATAGTGCTTAATCAGGTTATAGTTTATTTAACCATGAATGAGAGAGAGAGAGAGAGAGAGAGAGAGAGAGAGAGAGAGAAACAGCGCCCTCTATAGTACTTGAATTAAGGTATTGCCAGATTTACATCCAAAACCAAAATTCTTGCAAGCTATCAATACAGTAGCTTGTACAAACACCAGCATGGTATTAATAGCTTATACATTATTATTATTATTATTATTATGTTCTTGCTAAGATATTACAGTAAAACAGAGCACATCAACAGAAGATAACAGGAGAAGGAATTTTAAGTTTGTAAAGAAATTCATACATACGTACAACTTCTGTTTGTCTACAAAACTATTTTCAAGAATTTAAGCATTTTAGCGGTAGAGTAGAAATGAAAATATAAATGAACATTCATAATGGGAACTGAAAATATTTCTATGCCCCAATGGTGGGCTGTTTGCTTTTACGCTCGAGTGTTTATGAACTTTATGTTTAACATATGCACTCTGTGTAGCACAATGTAAATTTATGTTCAGACATGGGTAAAAAAAATGTGATGAGTACAATTTATTCATTTTATGAATTTAATCAGTTTAATAATTAGGATTAAATATCATACAGAGACAAATTTTAAAAAGCATGAACATATGGAATCTACTAGTTACTCCATTCTCATGAATTAACACTGATAAGCATCACATTTCTAAGTGTAACAAGTATTTTTTTTTTAATAATAAGATAATAAGTAATAAGATTTGTTTCATTGCTCTTTGACAGCTGTCCTTGTGTTCAAGCAGGACCGCACCAGGTGTAGTTTCAAGAAGCTTCCTGTAAAACAATTCAGATATTATTTCAAATTTAACACCTGTAACAGGATTCTTTCTTGAAGCATCAGTTTAGATGTTTGAGCTATTGAAGTAATATTGTATCTTTCCAACCTCAGTGTCATTCAGACTTCTGCCAGTTTCCTGCTGCTTCTTTGTACTTACCGACACCGTGTCTTCCTCTGCAACGTTCCTCCTTAGACGATCCCAGACATGCACTCTGTCACCTTCATCCTCGGGCCAGTCCAGATATGTACGTGATCTCACCAGTTTGGCCAAACTATGGAAAGGAATGATAAAAGTATTTACACTGTTTATAAAATTAGAAAATGAATACAATATTTGATTTAGTAAATGAATAGTGTAAATTTTAAATGATTAAAAATCATATCAAGTTTACACTAATGATACAATATTGTTTAAAAGCTTGAAGTTGGTAAGATTTTTTAAATGTTTTTGAAAGAAGTCTGGTATGCTCACCGAAGCTGCATTTACTTGATCAAAAATACAGTAAAAAGTAACAGTATAATTTCAATTAAAATAACTTTTTAAATGTTAATATACTTTAAAAAGTAATGTATTCCTATGATGGCAAAGCTGAATTTTCAGCAGCCACTACTCCAGTTATCAGTGTCACATAATCCTTCAGAAATCATTCCAGAAAAATCTTAGGAACCTCAAACTTTTGAAAAGTAGTGTATATTGATTGATCTATTGTCATCCTGTACTTCCTAAACTCATCTCTGAATATGTTTCAGTTTCACAGTAAATGCACATTGTTCTTAAGTGGGGCATCTTCCCCCATCTTGCCCTAATTACCGATGAAAAGCAGAAAGCTCAAAAGGAGAGATGTGTTCGAGGAAGATGAGGATGAGACGTTGTTTCTGCTCTTCCAGCTGCCGGTGTGTGGCCACTCGCATCTCCAGACTGCACCAGTTACTGCGCAGATACCGCCGACTGATCAAACAAACAGTGCACTGACTGCTGTAGATACTCTCAGTGATGTTGTCCATGATATCTTTACCCACCTAAAAGATGTTTCACAATAATCTTTTTTTTTTTTACTACATCTTGATGGATAACACAACTGATAACACTTATGAAAACAACAACTCGACCTCAAAAGATGTTTTTTTTTTGTGATCAAAATATAACTTTTTCTTGCGATCTAAACATAAAATTTGTTTTCTCGTGATCTAAACATAAGTTGTTTTTTGCAATCTAGACATAACAAAATATGTTTTTTTTTGGTGATCAAAACATAGCAGTGTTTTTCTTGGGTTCTAAACCTAACATTTTTTTTGTCATGGTCTAAACATAACGTAAGCTCAACTACTTCAACTAATTTATATTCAGAAGATCAAATAGAACTTCATTTCAACCTCACCTCAAAGTCTCTGTGGTGCAAACACAGCCTCAGTCTCGGGTTCCCTTGTTCCTCCAACCGAGGAGCCATCTCCCCCAGGACCCAGGCCTCATCACGATTACAGAAAGACACAAAGGCATCATACCGCATCTCCTCTATCTCCCCATCAGCCCCCTCGACTCGTCTCCTCCTCCTGTGCCACTGCCTACCAAACCTCCTCTCCACCCATCCTCTCAGGCAGAAGAAGAGGACTACAGAAGGCCAGCGAGCAAAGCGATATCCAACTGCTGCCGACAGCAGAAGACAAACACTTCCAGCTGTGGCTACATAGAAAATGTACTGTGTGTCAGTCTGACACAGCTTCTCCATGGTCGCCAAGAAGTTGAGTTTCTGATAGCGCCAGATACACTTCTGCATCTGCAAGTAGATCACCTGCACTTTTCCCGTGCTCTCCGCCCAATCCAGAATCCAGCCATTTTCACAACTGCACTGGAATTCCACTTTATCAAGAACAAATGCTGTTAGTGCTGGAAGAACTTCGAACGTGCCATCAATCAAGACCAGAGGACTGTCGCTGTAGAGACGCAGCAGCTGCAGAGACGTCAGGTCTTTAAACATACTCGCGGTCAGGAAGCTCAGATGGCAGTTTACCAGCACTAGAATCTGGAGTCTTGTTAGGTTCCAGAAGATGCTTCCAGCATCTGTATAGTTAGAAAAGCTCAGGTTGATGAGCTTGAGACGCTTGAG